AATATATATTTAGTCAATTGTTATTTGTTTGAATGTATTTAGTAATTTATTTCTTTATATGATTGTATTTGATTGTTTTAGTGTAGAACATGTAGGTTTTTCGATAAATTTTAAGGAGAATAAATGCCAGTTACTTTGAAAAGAATGAATTACCAGTTTATTGTGTGTTGTCATGAATGGCAAGTAAAAAATAAAATAATACAGCTATATTTATTTATTTGTTAATCTATATATCAACATGTATTTATTTATTTATTTGTTTATTGACTTATTTATTAATTCAATGTATTCATATATTTCTTTTATATATATTTGCTTTATTGAATTATTAATTAATTGATTAATGTTATATATTTCTTTAGTTTTTAACTCATTTGATTTTAATTAATTAATTCTATTTCATTCAATTTATTTGTGAGTTCCGCATAAACAGTCGTAAGGTAAAACAAAATATGCTTCAAAGTATCATTTAACCATATTAACATTTCTTTTAATTCTTTTAATTTCATGATGGGTATCAAAATAATCGACTTATTACACATATTCTGAATTCGAAATTTGTTTTCTTGCTACTTTTACTTTGGTACAAAAAAAAAATAGAAAATGTTCCTCAAAAACTGTCACAGTTGTGAGAGTAGTTCCGAGCTGTTGATAGTTGACCAGTGACTCTGGGTACACGGACCAGACACCTATTGTCCTTTTGACTGACCACTATACATTGTTTATTCTGTGGCAGGCTGACTGTATACACTCTGCAGGTGTTATTTCTTTCACAACCGTGACAGGGTTTTGAGGAACTTTTTTTTTTTTACCAAATTAAAAGTAGCAATAAAACAAATTCTGGATTCAGATTGTGCGTAATAAGACGTTAATTTTGATACCCATCATGAACTATAAGTAATGCTTAAAAAATAGTTTAAAACATTTTTTACCCTAAGAACTACACAAATTGAATTGAATTAAAGTAAATTTATTAATTAATTGAAATAAATGAATGAAATAAAAGACATATTTAAAAATAAATTAAATAAATAGGATTAATAAATAAATAAATGAAAAATAAATAGATAAATAAACAGTCAAATTAATGTTTAAACAGATACATTTAAAAAAAAAATAAAGAAAAAACTAGACCTTAATTCCATTCATACTACACAAGTGGCAATAAAATGGTAATTTATTCTTTTCATAGTAACTGGCATTTATTCTACTTAAGATTTATCTGAAAAGCTAACAAACAATCAATATAATCATATTTTAAAAGACTTTACTAAAGATACTTCAAACAAATAACTAATGACAAAATTTATATTTTTATTTATTTATTCGTTTATTCTCTCATTTATTTATTTATTTATTTATTTAATTTATTCATTTTTTTAGATACATGTATTTGTTTTATTCAATTATTAATTAATAAATTAATGTTGTATCTTTATTTATTTATTTTGTTAATTCATTTTATTTTAATGAATTAATTAATTCTATTCAATTCAATTCAGTTGTGTAGTTGCACATAAAAAGTCTTAAGGGGAAAAAATGCTTCAAAATATTTTTAAGCATATTTTTATTTCTTTAAAATCCTTTATTTAATGATGGGTATCAAAATAATCGACTTATTACACACAATCTGATTTCGGAATTAGTTTTATTGCTTCTTTTACTTTGATAAAAAAATAGAAATGTTTCTCAAAAAACTGTACGGTTGTGAAAGTAATTCTGAGCTGTTGATAGTTGACCAGTGACTCTGGGTACACAGACCAGACACCTATTGTTCTTTTGACTGACCACTATACACTGTTTATTCTGTGGCAGCACGACCGTATCCACCCTGCAGATGTTATTTCTTTCACAACCGTGACAATTTTTTTGATAATTTTTTTATATACCAAAGTAAAAGGGAGCAATAAAACAAATTCCAGATTCAGATTGTTTGTAATGAGACGATGATTTTGATACCCATCAAGAAATTAAAAGAAATAAAAGTTATTTGAATATGCTAAAAAAATAGTTTGAAGCATAATCTGTTTTACCTGGACACTGTATATGAAGAACTACACAAAATGAATTTAATTTTATTAATCAATAAATTAAAATAAATGAAATTAATAAAATAAATTAAATAAAAATTTTAAATAAATTCATTTGTTTATTGATAAGATGTTTAAATAAAACAAATAAGTAAAAATAAATTAAATAGATAAATTGAATAAATTAAATAAATATATCAATGAAAAAGAAAAGAATAGATAAATAAGCAGATAAATTAATAAATAAACAGATACATGAATAAATAAAATAAATAAATAAATAAATAAATAAATAAAAATACATTTACATGCCATTCATACTACACAAGATGCAATGAATTAGTAATTATTCTTTTAAGTAACGGGCATTTATTCTTATTAAGATTCATCTGAAAAGCTACCAAACAATCAATAAAATAATATTTTGAAATAATTTACTAAAGATATATTTAAAACAGAAAAAAAAACCTAATGATTAAATCTACATTTTCACAAAACTTGAAAATTGTTAAGAGTAAGGTATCGATTTTCTCACATGTAAATAGCAACAAAAACATATTTTAACCCCTTTTCCTCTAAATGAATCTCAGCGGACGACAGGGGGTTTACAGGGTGGTCAGGGACTTATTCTGGGGACATCAGGGAGTTGACAGGGACGTTAGGGAATGTCAGGGGACATCAGAGGTTTAGACGGTGGTAACAGGGGCAAAGTCAGGGGACGTCAGGGAGTAGACAGGGTAGTCAGGGACAACGACAGGGGATCATAGGAGAAAGTCAGGGGAGACAGGAAAATGTCAGGGACAGACAGGGGAACGTCAGGTTTTTTTTTTTTTTTGGAAAATCATTACAGTAGTGTCGGAGCCATTGAGCAATAAGGGATCTGCATCGTGCCAACGCCTGCCGTAATACGACACGGGACCTCTTTTTAAAGGTCTCATCCAAAGGACCCACACTTTTACTTCATAGTGCCAAGAAACAGTTGCTAACTTTTTTTTTTTCAACTAAGGTCAGTCGCGGCCGTGATTCGAACACAAGACCTTCCGATCACGGACAGATAAGTTGATCTTACAGGGATTTTTTTCCCGACATCCTCGTTTAAAATAAGCATTTCGTAAATTCTATGGTCGTTATAATGACCTTCTTAGCAAAAATAACCTGTCATTGGGTCGTATGTTGGCTGACGTGTTTCATATCAATTGTTAGGCCTTTGTATTTATACTGAAGAAGACTACGGAATGTTCTGTCTAGCTGACCTATAAATAGGGATCACGGCGGTTATGACCGGTCAACACGGGATGCTTATTCCTCCTGGGCACCTGTCCCCATATCTTGGAATTTCCGGGGTCCGTGTTTTATGCCCTCTTTAGATATCTATATTGTTTATTGATTTTTGAGATCGAACACTGTTCGTTATCTTTACCTTTTTCATTTACCGGTTGGAGATTTCTTATCAAATTCCGAGGGAATCTTTGACAAACAAATTATAAATATCGATTTTGCTGAAGATTTTTGCATATTAAAAATATATAACTACTATATTAGAGGAATGACGTCAAAATATCGATATGTAAGGGTGAAGAAAACAAGATCAGTCTCATAAAGAGAACAAACGAATCGTGAACAGGGATAAAACTAAAAAGAGTGACCACTGGAAATAGCAGATAAGTATCATGTGCCTAGGAGGTATAACAATACCCTATTGACCAGTTAAATCTGCCGTGAGCACTATGTTTTGATCAGGTATACGAAGTATAAGTATATTGTATAAAAGCGATTATTTAATAAATCATATAAAACATGTCACACAAAGTAGGATCCAAAGAGGTTGTATTTACAAATAAAATCATTTAAATGACCGTAGAATTAGCGTAAAGTGGTTTGTTGAAATCCTTGTAATATCAGATGATGTGGCAGTAGCCTGTCTAGGTTTAAAATTGATCGTTCTTAGACCATGCTCCTGCGTATCGAATCATTTGGGAGAGATAAACATCATGTGCAGGTGATGTTGGAATATTAACACACAGATAAAGGAAGTTGGCAAAGGAAAAAACCATCCTGTTTGTCAATATACTTTGTAGTTGGCTGTTATCGTATACAGTCAGTAAAACATCCAAATACGAAACAGATGTGGAGACTCTTCAGTGTCTCTATGGAATCGACATATAAATGAACTATTGTTAATTGTTGTACGTCATCGATATATGAAGACCACAGCAAGAGATTTTTTCTCATGCTGACGTTTTCTAATAAAGTCTGAATCTCAATTAACGTCCAAAATTCCAACAGATTGTTGGAAGAACTGGTATCCAAAGACAACAAAAATGTTTTCTATGAGAAACTCGAGTATCTTTTTAATTTAGGTTTAAGAGTGTTTTAATGTATAATAAATAAGTCATAGTTTTCATCTTGAGAATCAGTGTGACCATTGTTGATTAATGTTATTTTTATTTATTGAATATACTTTTTGAATATTAATTGTGAATTCCTTATCCATTTTGAATTTATTTTCAGCTAAATAATATGATGACAACAATTAATGTCATTCGCTTCTCATTCAGTAGTGCTCAGTGCATTGTTTTGTTTGTTATTTGTGATTGTTCATAAAACTTTCAATTTGCCCCGGGAGATGGATCAGTCAAGTGTAATAAGATAAGAAAAGCCAAAAGAATATATTAAAAGCTTATTTTGATAGCATATGCAGTAAAACAATAAATTTGAATTCAAATACCAGTATATTAAGTTCAAACTTTTATTTATATTTAATGTCGATTAAGAAATTCTATAAGTATGGGACAGCAACGGGGAATTAAATATTGTAACAATCTGCAAATGACAAAATTAAATAACGGCACACAGACACACAAAAGATTTGAGTACTCGACTATCGTTAAACATCCGACTATAAGACAAAGATGTCCGAGTAAATTTGACATCCCAAATCATCCTCTTGCATGGGTGATGCCGTTTTCTTTATATCCCTATTTTACTGCGAACAATAAAGCTCAAAATCTGTTTTAATATTTTTGAAAATGATATTTCATTTTCACCGTCATTTTCATCAGAATATTTTTCTTCTATGATTATTTTTCTGGTGCGAAGTCTTATTTCTTGGGGATTCATTTTAGAAATTTTCTTTTCCACATTTTGATTGTGTTTTACGGCTTGTACCATCCTTTCAGCTTCTGTTGTTAAGGTTTTCTCAGTTTTTTTGTAAACTTCGTTTTGGAAAAGTTTCAGTGGTTGATCACGAAGCATTTTGTCAATCATTGATATGATAGTTTCTGCCTCTTTAATGCGTTCTCTTCTGTCACCTTTATATCCGACAGCAACATATCTTCCTTTTATTTTTTGCAAAAGTGTTAAAAGGGATGAGGATTTTGAAAACGACGATAAATAATCTTCTATAGACATATTTTCTGCTTCTAATAAATGCTTATTGGTGAATACCACAATCATAAAAGATAGCGCAGTTTCTCCGAATTCTTCCAGAAAGAGATCAACTGTTTCCTGCAAATTCTGGTTATCAATTCTTCCGATAGCAATGGTCAGTAAAATGGAGTGCAAACCAGGGGATGTTACAGCATAGCATTTAGCAATTTCGAACAATACCTCTGAATTGGACATGGATCTATCGAAAAGACCTGGTGTATCAACTACCACAATGTTTCTACCAAATCTATGAGTGTTTCCAGCATATATTGTTTTTGTCTGTGAATCCCCAAGTGCATTTGACTTAAATGTTTCGTGGCCTAGAATCGTGTTTGCTAGGGAACTTTTTCCTGATCCACTTTGTCCAATAATCAGTACACGCAGCTCATCATCGGAATCCGATTCTTTTTTAAACCCTAAAAGAAATGTGTTTTTGTTTTTAATTCAGAGAAGAACGAAATACTGCATACATGATTTGTATAGTTTGTGAAAAATATCCTACAAGCTTTAGAAAACAAATAAATAAAAAACAAAGTGGAAACACATGTAATGTTTAGTGTTATTGACATGTGTTAACTATTTTTTACTTACTGTCTCTACAATTACATGTACAATGTATATTACTATGCACAAGTTCATTATTTGTATTTATTTCATCCTCAATTACATATAATATTCGTAAGTTCTATTGTCAATACAATGACCTTGTCAGCAAATACAATTTATCATTGAGTCAAATGCTGACTGACGTTTTTCATACAAATTGTTAGGCCGTTATTTACACACTGAATTGTCAACGGATTTTTCCGTTATTTCCCGATCATGACAAGGAGCACACGGCGGGTGTGACCGGTCGGCAGGGGATGCTCACTCTTCCATGGCACCTGATCCCACCTCTGATGTTTTGGAGGTCCGTGTTTGCTCTGCTCCTATTTTGTATAGTTTAATGTACTTCTGAGCTTGAATACTGTTCGTTATCTCCATATATTTCATACATATGTATATTCATTGCTGCGTAATTCTTTTCTAACATTAGTACTGTTTCATAACTTTATAAAAAAAAAAAATTGACTTACCAAAATAGATGTATGGAATAAGATAATAAAGAATGCATGCAACGAACAGTACCATTGAAATAACGCAAAATGGTAAAAAACAATCTTTGGACACATCTTTGAATATCTACAACATTGAAAAATCAAATTTGTTTGTAATAATTGCATTGCATAATAAATTGATAAAATTAAATGTACGTAATTGTCTTTTTCATAGCATGTATTTCTAAGCTAAATTATATTCGAATTTTCCAAAAATATTTATTGAAAAAAACATGTTTAAATCAGAATGTTATTAAAAGAAAAAGTTCATAAACCTTTTTCATGTTTTTGATGGTGACTGCAATTAGCATTTTTCCTTGTATTTGCAAGATATATCAATGAAAAGCGTGAAATTGAAAAAAAAAAATGTTTAGAGTTCTGATGTTATTTTTTGCAAACACATTAAAAGAATATTGTAGTCTTCTCTTTTTTTTGAAAGAGAAAGGGTGAAAGAGAGAGAGAGAGAGTGATATTTAAGGAATTTGTATGACTTTTAGAATCGTGCACCTCAAAAATTTTTTCAAGTATTTTCTGATAAACTTGAGTCGTCGACGATACAGTATTACCACAAGTGTTATGCATTTTTGTGGCATCCTCCTCCTGTTGATTTCCTTTGGATCCATCAAAAAGATTACTTTCCTGTTTTTGTTCATTTCTAGGCTAAAAGTATATATATATATATATATATATATATATATATATATATATATATATATATATATATATATATATATATATATATATATATATATATATATATATATCTTACTTTTTCAACTTAAATTCTTTTTTAGATACCGATCAGAATCGCCTACTACTGGTACATGTAGGACGTTTACATCGTGATCTGGAAGCACGGTTTCGATTCTCGTTTGCCGCGCTGTCTCGTTTAAAGTCATCATTTCGAAAGTTATATGGTCGACACAATGACCTTGTCAGTAAATACAATTTATCATTGAGTCAAATGCTGAATGACGTTTTTCATACAAATTGTAAGGCCATTATTTACACACTGAATTGTCGACGGATTTTTCCGCTATTTCCCGATCATGACAAGGAGCACACGGCGGGTGTGACCGGTCAGCAGGGGATGCTCACTCCTCCATGGCACCTGATCCCACCTCTGGGGTCCGTTTCTCAAAAAGGCCTACGACCAGGCGTAAACTTAGTCCGAACTAAATCAGTGACTCAACCCGAAAATCGGACTAAGTTGCGTTTCACAAAAAGGCGCAGACTTAGTCGAGACTAAAATTAAGCTTATATCTACGCCTGCTCATGAGTAGGCGTAAGTTCTTAGTCTGTATTCAACTCGAAAAAAGTAGCAGGTGTTTTTTGTCATAAAGAGATAAAAGAATAATTATTTTGTACGTATGCGATATAATACCTATTAATGTACATATATGATATGCGAAAAATCGTGAAATATACAATTATTATGTAGGTAAATAGAAAGGTAGTAAAAATCCAGCGAGGATGCAGACTTTTTTCCGTAAAAAGGTTTCATGAACTAGGAATTTGTAAGTAAGAATTTTGAATTTTGAAACTGAGTAAGATATTTTTAAAAAGTGCCCGAATTCAAAAAAAAAAAAAAAAAAAAAAAAAAAAAAAAAAAAAAATGCAGGCACCCGTAGTATGGAAGAGGGGGCTGCAACCCTCCCGCTTTTTCCAGTAATGGTGTTTCTGTTAAAAATTGAGTTGTAATTTAGACTGACCTACACTTTCAGTATTTGTTTTCTTGTACTCTCAAAGTTTGCTGAATATTTTGGTTACTTAATTACCTACCCCCTTGCCCATTTCCTCCACACACTTGGCCCATGATATTTTTTTTTTTTTAATTTTTGAAATGGATTATGTTTTTGAAAAAATAAACCTCCTCAATCAATATACATTTGATATAATAAAATACGATATTAAGATAAGTTAATTCACCTATTACCTTAATTTCCCCTTTGATTAAATATAAAATTTATAGAACAGAAAATATGAACTTGTAAAATGTTCCAGTAAATAATTATCTTGTCCGTAATATTGTTTTTCCCATTTCAAAGGAGCAACTGTCATGGGGTATAAGATCTGCAGATGGATCTATCATTTATTAAAAAATAGGTACTTGTTTTTAATTAATTTACAATCTATCGTACTTTTCTCAGACGAATTTTATTTGAGGGTATCTTTTGATCGATTTATGAACAGATAAACACTTTATATTACACGCATTTGAAATGAAAGTGGTCAATAACGTGTTAATATCTTTAAATCTAGATAAAATCGTACATTTTGGCCGTGGTTTGCGACGATGCATCTGCATCTATAGAAGAAATATTATATGATCATATTCTTAATAGAAATTGAAACGGAATTACTAGATTTAAAAGAAAAAGATGGTATATTATATGATCATATTATTAATAGAAATTGAAGCGGAATTACTAGATTTAGAAGAAAAAGATGGTGATGTTGAATTTGTACTTTTCCCGATCTTAATAAATCTGATCCCGACTGGAAATATATGAAATGAAAATATTTCAGAAATTTATAAAAATACTAGATTGCTTGCTTTTAATATGGATTACAAGAAATTGATTGAAAACTAATTAAGCTTTTGCAAACCTTTATTGAGAATGCGTTTGCTAATGGAAATGTTGTATAAGCGTATTTTTACATGGACTGTGTAAATTATCATATCGATATCAATGTGATACTGTATGTCCAAAGTGTAATACATGTATTATAATACATTTATCAGCATGAATGCCAAGAAATCTAATTCAGTTAGAATTGATTATTCTCTTACAAAATTATAAATTCAATACAACTGATAAATTTTCAAAAATCTCTTTTCCATATTGTAATAATATATGATTTCATAATTGTTTAATTTTCCACAGGTCCGTAGAAAGCGATGGGGCAAGGGGACCCCGGTCCTCCACTTTTTCTGAGTGTAGTATTTTGCTTTATTAGATTTTCTTTCAGATACTGGTTGCCCCTCCCACTTTTTGTCGCTATAAGGTCGGCAACTCCCACTTTTTGATAGTTTAGGGTTTTTTTGGCTTGTCAGATTTTTTTTTTTTGGGGTGGTGGTCCCAACCCCACTTTTGAAACCTTTGCTACGAACCTGTTCCAACCCTTTTGCGTATTTATTTTAATGTAAAACATAAGTGAAAAGACAATATGGCTTATTTTCAAAGGAAAATTTCTTCAGTAATTTTCCTGCTTAATGTATTCCAATTTTTCGCAAGTACGTATGCTTTGCACATCGTTTGGGTTTTTTAAAGGACAATTGATTATCGGAATATCACAATCGAGTACATGCACGTTTATGTTTTTTCTAATGTTATTTGTACCTATATAGATTTTATAAAAAAATTATCTGAGTATACAAAACTAGTTATTTAATTTTAATTCTTTGACCTTGAAAATACAGATAGATATATCTCTTTGAAAGATGATGAAGAGAGAAAACATGCACGCACGCTAATGCTTTTCGTGCCTTTCTTCTGTATTTAGGTTTAAGATTGATAGTAATTTGATCCGCCACATTTAATTGTAGTCTCTAAACCAAATAAAATACGATCTGCGCATGCTTAGTACTTAGCGGAGAGGTCTTAGTCTTAGGCCCAGTCTTACGCCGTTTTCTGAAACGCGATTTAAGGCTGTCTAAATTTTGGCGTACCTTACTTAGTCGGACTAACTTAGGCCCAAATCTACCACTTTTTGAGAAACGATCCCCTGATGTTTGGAGGTCCGTGTTTGCTCTGCTCCTAATTTGTATTGTTTGATGGACTTTTGAGCCTGAATACTGTTCGTTATCTTCATATCTTTTATCTTAGACTTAAACATAGTCAGTAACTCTTTACTCCCAAAGCATCCGAAATTATTAAAACTGTAAAGTCACGCGTCTTTTTGATGAGACTTAAAAAACTGAGTGCCTTAGTCTCAGCAGAGGTTGACCTTGAGTGCTAAGCGTAGATCTAAATTGAAAGCTCTTCACTGGCATACTTTGACGTCTCTATGCGACTGAAATTTCTGGAAAAGTACCTTGAAAACAAACCATCAATTAATCAATAATTCTATTTTTATTATAAAATTAATGCTAGCTGTCAATGAATTAACACATAACTGTAGGTATACTTAGTAAAGTTAAAAAAAAAATCAAAGTTTGTCTTTCATGTAGAGGTTACTTACCTGAGAAGCATCTTCAAATTGCATGGGTCTGGATCTTTGTTTCGTCAAGCTAGCTGAGATATATGAATAGCCAGAATCCTTTTCAATATCTGTGTTTTTAAGATGAATATTTTGTATTCGTTCTTCTTGTGGTA